GACGTTCGGACACTTCACTTCGTGGCCTGCGGACGACCGTGGCTACTACACTGGCGCATGGGTACAGTGACTTGTTGTGGTAACATTTTCTGGACGCTAGCTTAGTATACGATTTTCCCCCTGTTCCAACACTGGACACCTGTACTGGTTGTTGGTGGTAACGTGTTCCTGACGCTAGAATAGGAAACCACGTTGGGTTTCCCACAAGTCCGCAAGAGCGCGCGGGATGAAAATTTGACACTTTTTTTTTGAAAAACCATTGGTTGTTTGATGTTTTTATGTTAAAATCGCTACGAACACTAAGGTTTTGGAAGGATTTCGTCTTGCGCGCGCGAATGTCCACTTTACCTTATTTTTTGCAAGGGATTCTTGAAGTTTGGTTATGTTAGAACAAGAAATGTCCACTTTGCTTATTTTTTGCAAGGGAAAACCGCCCGTAACAAAACAACCGGATCCGGACCACCCGTTTTGCCTGAGACTTCCTCACGAAAATGATGAAAATGTGGCTGCGGCCTAGGCGCGGCGAGGGGGCCGTGCACCAGGGGCCCCAACAATAATTATTCTTTAGAAGTAATAATGTTCAACAACAACAACAACAACAACAACAACAACAACAACAACAACAACAACAGGAGGGAGGCTAGGGAGGGAGGGTGGGAGGCTAGAAGCAATGGCAGAACGCAGAAACAAACGGGCAGATCGCGGGGTCAGAGACCTTAACGGGCGGACCAGGAAGGCGGGCAGGGGGGGAGGGCATGAGGAGCGGGAGGAGCGGGAAGTTTCCACAGGTTCGGTCATATCAGAGTCTCGGTCTGAAACTCCGCCGATCCGGCGCGTGAGCTACAAGGGGCCTCAGCAAGCGGTTCAGATCTGAGCCTAAGCAAGAGCTTCAGCTCTGCTTAAGGGGGGTCGCCGGGGTGGCTCTGCTGGGGAAGGGGGGAAGGGAGGGGGGGGGCCGTCCCCCATCCGGCGTTTTCTTCATGATTTGCGCATCCGGACCCCCCCCCCGGGGAAGGGGGGGAGAGGGGGGGGACGATCCCCCATCTGGTGATATCTTAATTATTTGCGCATCCCCCAGATGTTTCGGGGGGTCCCAGGGACCCCCCTCAGATCTAGCCGCTACCGCCCCCAAGACCCTCCCCTCGGAACCCTCCCCGGGCCCCCCCCGGGACCGCTCCAGGCAGCCCCCCAGAGGATAAGAAAGAGGACCGGAAGAATCGAGGAAGGAGAAGGCCACAGAGCCGCGAAGATCACCGAATCCGGAGACCCCCGGATCGGCGGCACTGGCCTGAGGACATGACAATATTCATCGATCGATTTCGTCGGATATGGCTAACCCTCTGGCTTGAAATTGAGAATATATTGAAATTGGCCGAATATCTAGTTTGAATTTCGACAACAGCTGATTCGTCATTTCGTCCTTTCTGCGCAGAACTAAGTATTAACAGGATGCAGAAGGCCAGCCTGGCCGCAGCGCCGAGATCCTGCCATGTCTCCGTACTCTTTCAAGCGCAGAACGCGACACCGACAGATCCCCAGCGACGCACGCGTCCCCACAACAACAAGCACATCGAGCACTGGGAAAGCCCCCACGCAGACACCCGACATGAGCCAAGAGACCACGATTAGCCCTAAGCTCGCCATGTATAGCCTTATGCTCGCCTCAATGCAGTATCGATGCCGTCTCAACTCCGTCACTGCAGAAAGCTGAGTACCGTTTAACCGATCCCCATCCCCAGCGGCGTGCCCTGGGCCCCGCTGGCCGATATAGGCGGTTCCCTTCGGGTTTCCAGGGGTGTATCCGCAACTGGGGTGGTAATTTGGGGGGGGGGGGGGGAGAGTATCCAAGGAGATGGGGATGGGGATGGGGGTCGGATAAACGATACTGAGATTCCGTCTCGAGTCCGTCACCGCAGAAAGCGGCACAGTGCCAGACAGCAGAGTGTGCACAGCACTACACGAGAGCTGTGAATCCGAACCCGTCTTTGAGGGAGGCCGGGACGCCCTCTCCGCAGGGGCGCGGCCTGAGGCCGAGATAGCGAGCGCGGCGGAGGCGATCCGGAGGCGCGCAGGGTGCCCAGCCCACACCTGCAGTGCAATATCAAAACCCACGCGACCCCACGACCTCCGCCTCCTCCTCCTCCACCCCCTCCTCCCCCTCCCCCTCCTCCTCCTCTTCCCTCCTCCTCCACCTCCTCCACGTCCTCCCCCTCCTCGTCCTCGTCCTCCTCCTCCTCCTATCCTCCTCCTCGTCCCCCTCTTCCTCCTCCCCCTCCTCCTCCTCCCGCAGTGCAATAACAAAACTGAAGGGGCCCTGGGACACACAAATAAATAAACAAATAACAGGATGCCCCATATTTTCTCATATGTTCGGGGTTTTCGTCGTCCCCCCCACTTCCCATATGTTTCCTTATTTTCCTGGGAGCCGACGATGACTTGTGTCTGTATGTTTTTTCCCCTCCTGAAACAGAACCCACGCGACCCCACCCCATCCGCGCTCCTCGGCGTGGCCGCGCGACACCGCTGGCGGAGCGTCGGCGTCGGCGTCGGGACGTTCGGCGGGCCTGGCTGGCGCGGGGCGCGGACTGCATTTCTCCTGCACCCCCCCCCCCCGTCCTCCATCCCTTTTCCTCTTACAGAGCTCATCGCTGTCGAACCCTTCTTGCCTGAGACCTCCTGGCCGCTCATGATCCTGAAGCTTGACATCTTTAACAGTTTCATGGATTGAGGGCGGGTGGATTTTAAAATGTGGCTCCCGCCTTGGCGACGCGCGTAGTCACTAGTATGGAAAATTGACAACAGGTTCACAGATGGAGGGCTGCACCTCTTCAAGATGCGGCTCTCACCTTAGCGCGCGCACATTGACATGAAAGTTTGCAGCAGCTTCAAGGATGGAGGGCGGGTTCTTTTCAATATGTGGTTTCTCGCCTTTGTGCCACACGGTCTTGGATTGGCAGGACGCAAAAATTACGTTGATTCGCGGTGTTGAGGTCCAAGGGGTGATGCATAATGTAGTACTTTCAGACCTCAACAGTCGCGTTGATTCGCGGCGATGAAGACCCTGGGGTGGTATTTTGATATGATGGAGGATTCTCTGACGAATGACTTTCACGGGACACTTCCCGAAAAGAAAAACTCGTGGAGACCAATGAAGAAGAAACTTGGAGGGAGGGCTTAGTGCGTCATCGTTGCTGCGTCTTGAAATTACACTGGTCCTAGACCCTCCTCCGCAATCATCATCATCATGATAAATCACCACCACAAACATAATCATTATCAACAGGATCATCATCAGCATGATCATCAGCAGCATCATCATAATCAGCCACCGCATTATCATCATCATCAGCAGCAGCAGCATTATCATCACCATCATCATCAGCATCATCAACAGCAGCAGCATGACCATCATCAGCATCGCCATCATCATCATCAATACTCAATACCATCATCATCATACTCATCATCATCACCAATACCATCATTATCATCATCGGCATCATCAGCATCATTTTATTCATCATCATCAGCAGCAGCAACATCCTCATGATCATCACCATCTGCAGCAACAGCATAATCATCAACATCATGATGAGCAGAAGCCTCATCATCATCAGCGGCATCAGCAGCATAACAAGCATCATCAACATAATCGTCATCATCGTCAGTATCATCATCATCATCAACATCATCATCATCATCATCATCATCATCATCATCATCATCATCGTCATCATCGTCATCGCCATCAGCATCATCGTCATCTTCCTCATCGTCATCATCATCAGCATCATCATCACTACCACTACCACCACCACCACCACCATCATCATCATCATCATCATCATCATCATCATCATAACCCCCTCTTCCTCCTCCTCACCGTCCTCCCCCGCATCAACCTCTCCTCCTCCTTCTCAACCACCGCCTCCTCCCCCCTCCTCGTCTCCTCTCTGGACGACCTCACTGTGGGTGATATGATGTCTGTAGACTTCTCATCCTAACCACGACGACCGGTTGTGGGCACGTCGATCGAAAACCTGATTCATGAGACACCCCCAGGTATGCGACGACTTGATTGCTTCAATACGCGGCCCCCACAAATCCCGATCCTCCCAGGGCCAGTTTCCCATCCCGAGTCGTTGTCTCACGGTCCAGCGGCCCGCCGAGAGCTCGCGGAGGCCCGAGATTGCCAGAAACCTCCCGTCGTGATTTGCTCACGACGCCAACATGTCTGAGCCTCCCTCCTGTCTCCGACCACGCCGCCTGCCCCCGGCCAAGGCCTCAGGGCGCCCCGCCGCGCGCACGCGGGCGAGGACGGCGCGCTGCCAGCCAGCCTGGGGCTGCCGCCCTGGGCGGCCGGCGTTGGCGGCCGGTGGTGGCAGCTGCGGCTGGCGCCGGCGGCCGGCGGCGGCGGCCAGCGGCGGCGGCCAGCGGCAGACGGTAACGGCGGCGATCGGCGGCCAGCGGCGGCGGCCGCGCCGGCCGGTGGTGGCGGCGTCGGCGGGCTCCAGCGGCCAGCGGCAGCAGCTGGGCGGCGGTGGTCGGCCGCGGCTGGCTGCGAGGACAGAGAGAGGGAGCGTGGGGGAGGGCCTGCGGAGAAGGCCTGGGATTTCAGAGAGGGGGTCGGCACCTGCTTCAGAGGCCTCTGCGGGGGCTTCTGAAAGGACAGGAGGGCTTCAGAGATGCGGGGCGCCGTCTCTGGAGGCCAACCCCCTCGCCCTGCTCTCCTCTTGCGCGCCGCCACGGCGTCGGCGGCGGCGGCAGTGGCAGCTGGTGGCGGTATAGCAGCGGCTGGACAGACACAGCGGCGACTGGCAGCTACGAGGGCGCGGCCGCGGCGAGATTGCAGCGGCAGCGGCGGCACGGCGGAGGTGACCAGGGCAAAGATCGGTGGCACGGGGCTCCCTGGCCAAAGGCCAGAGGAGCAGTGCCGTGGCGCAATGCTGAGGGCAACCACAGGGAGCCGACGATTCCCCATCGCCACCCCTCCCCAATCCCTTTCCCACTTCCCCCCACCCACCCCGCTGTGCTGCACCACCCACTCCCAACCCCAGCCCCATACAACCGATAATACAAGCTGCCGCCGCGATTGTCACCTGCAGCGGCCCTGAAGTATCGAAAATGTTGGCACTTCTGAAATCTCACAAGACCTCGGGGCGACGGGTAGCCAAAGATCAGTTACATAAGGTATCACGACGACACTCACAACCACCACCAACACCAACACCAACAACAACAACAACAACAACAACAACAACAACAACAACAACAACAACAATAACAACAACAACACCAAAAACATAACAAGAACAGTAACAACAACAACAACAACAACAACAACAACAACAACAACAACAACAACAACAACAACAACAACAGCAACAGCAACAACAACAACAACAACAACAACAGCAACAACAAGAACAACAAACATTACACCAATAACAACAACGACGACGACGACGACAGCGACGACGACGACCACAGCAACAACAATCAGTTTAAGACTGTTCGCCCTTATCTGCTCGAGAGTCCAATAACGCGCATTTCCCAAACCCTCGATACCCGCCCCCTTCGTCTTCGATCGAACCCCTTATGGGGGGTATACCTCTCTTCCCTGCAGGCCGGGCCCCGGCAAGCGGCGGGGCGGCCGCGGGCCGTCGGCCTGGCCAGCGGCAGCGCTGATCGGCGGGGCGGCCGCGGACCGTCGACCCGACCCCAAGAGGGACGGACAGGGAACCGACAACGACGACGACGACGACGACGAGCGAAAGCGAGAGCAAGAGAGAACGACAGCAGGGCCACGAAGGGCACGAAGTAGGCCACGAAGGGCGACAGCGGGGACACGAAGGGAATGCGTATGGGGCCACGAAGAGCGCGAACGAGCGGGGGCCACGAAGGGCAGATAATGCGGGGCCACAGAAGGCAACGATGGGGCCACTGAGGGTAGCAACTGGACCACGTACTTAGGACAGTGAGGGGGCCACAAACGGCGACAGCGGGGCCACGAGGAGCATGCACATGGGGCCACAACGGGCGCGACTCCTGGGTGCCTGGGTATCTGGAGCGGGCGCTATTCTTCAGCAAATTGCAAGCAAATCTCCAGCGAGAGCGCGACTCCTGAGCGCCGGGAGAGCGATTCCTGAATAAATTGTGTAAGGAAGTCCCAAGCGAGAGCGCGATTCCTGAATAAAATGCGAGGACGTCTCGGGCGGGAGCGGGGGTCCTGGCTAAAATGTGAGGAAGTCTCAGACGGGAGACGTTGTTGTTGCAACCCGGGGGCCAGGGGCACAGTTTGAGCATCAAGACTTCCCCTGTCAAAAAACAGGGTGCGAGCGTCGAGGGGCACACCTTGATTGAAAAACATGATCGACCCACGAACCCGGAAAGGAATATAGAAATGTAAGGCATGGCAACGTCTCAAAGACACCTGATTGGGCGACGGGCCAATGCAATGCTGAATGTATCGTTCTTGATGTACTGTGCCGATGTCTGTGCTGTGCTACGCCGTGCTGAACTGCAATGTGCCATGCCGCGATTGTGCTCTATATAGCGTTGTGCATCGAGTCCTCCCTGGCATCCGAGTCCTGACCGAACTGATCTGGATCTTAAGCTCGAGCTGCCTGAGCAGATGGTAGCTGCCCCAAAACTAATCGACAGAGGGGGCATGCCAGGAGGACGCGCCGCGGAACGTCCCAAGGGACGCGCCAGGCGCCGTGCCAGCGGACGTGCCATGGGCACGCACCGCGGGACATGCCAAGGGGACGCGCTACGGAACGTGCCGCCAATGGACGTGCCGCGGGACGTGCCAGGGGACGCGCCGCGCGACGTGCCAGGTGGACTCGCCACGGAACGCGCCAAGGAACGTGCCAAGGTGCAATGTTGAGTGTATCGATCTTGATGTACCGCGCCGACGGCTGTGCTGTGCTGGGCTGTGCTGAACTGCGATGTGCCATGCCGCGATTGTGCTCTATATAGCGTTGTGCATCGAGTCCTCCCTGGCATCCGAGTCCTGACCGAACTGATCTGGATCTTAAGCTCGAGCTGCCTGAGCAGATGGTAGCTGCCCCAGAACTAATCGACAGGGGGACATGCCAGGAGGACGCGCAGCGTCCCAAGGGACGCGCCAGGCGACGTGCCAGGGGACGTGCCATGGGCACGCACCGCGGGACGTGCCAAGGGGACGCGCTACGGAGCGTGCCAATGGACGTGCACCGCGCGATGTGCCAGGGGGACTCGCCACGGGACTCTCCGCGGAACGTGCCAAACAATATGCCAGGCTGCAATGCTAAGGGTATCGATATTGATGTTCCGTGCCGAGGGCTGTGCTGTGCCTGGGCGACCTGGACACATGAAAACATGCGTTTCGCTCAAGACGTTCTCAGCACATCCTCATGCTAGACATCCGCCTGGGCAACCTGGACACGTGCAAACAAGCGTCTCGATCGAGACTTCCTCGACACATCCTCATGCTAGACATCCGCCTGGGCGACCTGGACACGTGAAAACAATCCTCTGGTTCGAGACATCCTCAACAAATCCTCATGCTAGACATATGTCTGGGCAACCTGGAGGCGTGAAACCAAGCGTCTCGCTCGAGACATCCTCAAGACCTGGGCACGTGAAAACAAGCACTTTACTTGAGATATCCTCCGAATTCAGGTCCCCAGAAGAAGACAAACTATAACACAAAACAAGCGTTTCGCTCGAGACATCCTCAGCAAATTCTGAAAAAACAGCGTTTCGCTAGGGAATTCCTCAAAAACGAATTCGCCGGCCCTACGCGACCTCGTTATTTATCGCAGAAGAAATTCGCCGGCCCTACAGCCGTCAGATCCGGGGGCAAACCTCTAAAAGAGAACCCTGGGCCCACGCCCTTTCCAGGAAAAACAATATGCACCGGTGGGGGGATTAACAATACTTGAATTCAGATATGAGAGTTCAACATCAGCAGCAGTAGCAGCAACAACAAACAAGATCCATCACCATCAGTATCATCAAAAACAACAGCAACAAGAAACAGCAACAACAACAGCATCATCATGATAACCATCATCATCATCATCATCATCATCATCATCATCATCAGCATCATCATCATCATCATCATCATCATCATCATCATCATCATCATCATCATCATCATCATCATCATCATCATCGTTATCAACAGCAGCATCATCATCACTACCATCATCATCATCATCATCATCATCATCATCATCATCATCATCAACACCATCATAATCGTCCTCATCAGAAGAATCAGCATAATCAGAAACATCAGCACCATCACCATCATCACCATCATCATGAAAATAATCATCATCACAATCAGCATCGTCATCATCATCCTAATAATGCTCTTCATCATCACCGCCACCACCGTCGTCATCATCAGCAGCATCATCATCTCCAGTATCATCATCACCTCAACATCATCATCATTATCATCACTACTATCACCACCACCATCATCGTCATCATGATCATCATCGTTATCATCATTACCATCATCAGCAGCAGCATTACCATCATCATCAGCATCATCACAATCATCGTCATAATCACCATCAACATCATCATCATCATCAGCATCAGCATCATCATTATCAACGTCAACTTCAACATCATCGTCATCACCAGCATCAACATCATCGAAACCATAATCCGTGTCATCGTCATCGCCGTCCGCATCATAATCAACATCATCAACCTCATAGGCAGCAGCAGCAACATCATGCTCTTTGGCAAACGCTTCCAAGGATTACAGGTCCGTGGATCTGGGGCTGCGGTATGGCGGGGATAGTTCAAAACTGTTAGTTGGTAGAGGGTCCCCAGAAATCGTTGACTTGGCGATTCTGAATAATTCTTGAAGTACGTCGATGCCTGCATGGTTTTGTGCGGATGAAGGCAGGCAGGGCCCAGATGCAGCGAAGGGGACAGGTCGCATGGCCCCAGCACAGGCACCCTGTGAGGCGGCGGGAGAGCTGCTTACAGATTAACGAAAAGACGCCAGACCTCCTTCGAAGGCAAACATATATGACTTGATTCATTCCCGCGGGCCCTGTCGTCCTCCTTCTCCTACCCCCCCCCCATCCCCCGCCATCACCATCATTAACATCATCAACATAAAAGCCATCGGCATCATCCTCATCAGCATCATCGGCATCATCATCATCATCGTCATCATCATCATCATCATCATCATCATCATCAGCAACAACACCAGCAACAGCAACATCAGCATCATCATCACCGCCATCATTACCATGAACAACATCATCATCATCATCAGCATCACAGTCACCGTAATCGTCATCGGCATCGTCACCATCATCATCAACGTCGTCGTTGCAGCAACCGTGGTCGTAGGACTAGCCGTCGCCGCAGCTCAACATCCCCATCACGATCAACACCCTAATCGTCATCACCACCAGCATCACCATCAGCAGCATTACCACCGTCGCCATCGTCATCATCATCATCATAATATCAGCATCATCAACATCATCGTCTGCAACTTCATCACCATCACAGTGATCATAATTGCCATGGTCATCCTCACCATCGTCGTCGCAATCATCCTCACCGCCATCATCACATCATCATCAGCAGCATAATCATCATCACCATCATCGTCAGCATCATCAGCATCATCATCATCATCATCATCATCATCATCTTCATCATCATCTTCATCATCATCATCATCACCATCATCGTCATAGTCAGCATCAGCATCGTCATCGTTACCGTCAGCAGCATCCTCGTCAGCATCGTCATCGTCGTCGTCGTGAATGCAATCGTTAGTATCATCGTCATCGCCATAGTCGCATCAGCATCATCATCCCCAACATCACCATCACCGCCATGATGATCGTCGTTATCACCAGAATCATCATCAGCAGCAGCAGCATCATCATCACCATCATCATCATGTTCATCAGCATCATCATCATCGTCATCATCGGCAGCATCATCATAATCAACAGCATTAGCAGTATCGAAAGCATGACCACTGCCATCATCATGAGCATCCTCATGATCAGCATCACCATCCTCATCATCATCAGCATCAGCATCAGCATGATCATCATCATCACCCTCCTCAGCAGAAGCAGCGTAATCGTGGTTATCGTCGGAGTCGTCGTCTCAGTCTCCTGCTACCGATAATCATCATCAGCGCCATCATCATGATCATCAGCACCATCATAAGCATCCTCAGCAGCATTATTACTACTATCACCACCACCACCATCATTATCGTCACCAGGATCATCATCAGTATCATCAGTAACATCACCATCATCATCATCAGCAGCAGCAGCAGTAGCAGCATCACATCATCAGCATCATTATCATGATCATCACCATCACCATCACCATCACCATAATCATCATCATGATCAGCATCATCATCATCATTAGTATCATCATCAACATCATCATCACCATCATCATCAGCATCATTATCAGCATCGTCATCATCACCAGCATCATCATCATCGTCATCATCAGCATCATCATCGTCATCATCATCAGCATCATCATCATCATCATCATCATCATCATCATCAGCATCATCATCATCATCATCATCATCAACATCATCATCCGCCATCTCCTCCTCCTCCTCCTCCTCCTCCTCCTCGTCTTCTAACTCCTTCTCCTCATCCTCTTCCTCCTCTTCCTCCTCCTCCCCCTCCTCCCCCTCATCCTCCTTCTCCTCATCCTCCTCCTCCTCTTTCTCCTCCGCCCCCCCTGCCACTTCCCGTTTTCACCCTCTCCAGCGTCGTCGCCTGTATCCTCCCCCCACTTCCCTAGCCCCCCCTCCTCATCGTCCTGAACATCATCCCCCCTTCCTTCTCGTCACCCTTCGACTGGGGACAAAAAGATTAACACCGCTACTCCGCGGACCTCTCCTGGGGTGCATTCTGGCCAGAATTTCGAGGCGAATCCAGCCGTCGCGACAAGCAGGGCCCAGGCAAGACCAACAATGCCAAAAAAATCCAGCCTAGATCCTCGATCGTCGATCCTCCTCCTGGTGGCTTCCGTGTCATAACTCGAGCCTCTGGCGGCCGTTCGGGACGACCCAGGAATCCCCAGAAAGCTCTCGGCGAGGCGCAGCTGCTGGAAATCATCCCGATGCGAGAAAATCTTCAAGAGCGTCTGAAACCGTCGAAAACCTTGGAAAACCTGCGCACGTCTCATCCCCCCCTCCCCTTTCCCTGGATTCCCCGCGCGCGCGCGAGCGCGGAAGCGTCTCCTGGCTCGCTTCGGGCCTTCTGGCACAGGTCCTGCGAGGGCGAGGACATCTGGGCGGTTGACCGACTCTCGCCATGGCCCACGATCGCTTGTGCAGCTCAACGGAAACATTGACGACAAACGACAACGACGACGACGACGACGACGTCGAATACAATGACGACGACGACGACGACGACGACGACGACATCGACGACCGCCTCCAGGTCCCCAGAAGTCCCTGGAGATTCCCGATGGCCTATCGCGTTGTGAATTGCCAAGCCTGTTGCCACCTGCTGCCTAGTCAGCACCCAGGCCTGGCGACCGCCGTGGCCAAGACGCACTGCGGCCAGCGCAGCTCTCGTGGGACGGGGGCTGTGGGGGTGGGGGGAAGATGTGCGAAGGATGAGGATCAGACAAGACTATAGTAGACTGGAAGCCAAACGCCAAGAGACAACCCCGCACCTGGAAAGGTCTACACTGCCCCCCCCGTTTCCCCTTCCCCAAGCCGGCCTCGCCTCTTCTCTTCCCCCTTGCCGTGCCCTCCTCCCGAGGTGCTGTGTTTGCCTTGTCGGGGCTTGGGGGGCCCATCCGCTTCTATCCTCCAGCCTCTCCTCCGTCGCAGTGGCTCCGTGGCCCGGCCCATTTGCTGCCGAGGCCGGCCCGAGGCTTCAACATGCCACCCCAGTTGAGGGAGTTCTGATCCATCCGTCAATACTCAATACATCATCCGCTCCTCCCTTCTTGTCCTCCTGTTGCTCCCCCTCGTGTCGCCTTCAGGGGATTGAATAGCCACGGCATCGCTGACGAGGGCTATGAGAGAGAGCCTTCCGAAAGCAAGGACAAATCAACTTCACATAGGCAGCGCCGTCTGGCAAAACTACTGGACACCTACGAAAGGCCTCGAAGGCCAGACGCTCACCCTCGTTTCATCTCCGCCCCTGGTCGGTCTCCCTTTGGGACATCTCCCCCGTGGAGGACGTCAACCGTGAACCAGACCAGATCGGCGCGCGCCGAACTGGTCTGGTGCACGGCTGGCGTCGTCCATCTCCGTCTGGAGACGGAACGTCCGCAGCTCGAAGCCCAAGCATCTGGCGGCTCGATTTGTTCGAAACATGGGCCAGGTCTCTCGACTCATTCCCCGGAACCGAGCTTTCATCCCAAGCCACTGGTTGATGGTCGTAGGACCCGAAAGTGACCTCCGAAGGCCAATAATTTAGAAAAGCTGGCCGTCTCAATTTGTTCGAAACGCTGGGCGTCTGGGAGCTCGAAGGAGGAGGACAGAAGCGGACGACGACGACGACGACGACGACGACGACGACGACGACGACGACGACGACGACGACGACGACGACGACGACGACGACGACGGCGGCGGCGGCGGCGGCGGCGGCGGCGGCGGCGGTCCTCGAGAGGTGATCGCCGGCCGCGTGCGCTGGGTGCTGCGATCGGCTCCTCGCGGTGCCGCCGCCACCACCACCACCACCACCATAACCACCGCCACCACCACCAACGCCGCCGCCATCGAAATCGCCCTCGCCCTCGCCCTCGCACTCGCCCTCGCCCCCATCCTCGCCCTCGCGGTCGCCTTCGTCCCCATCCTGGCCCTTGCCCCCGTCCTTGTCCACTCCTCGCCCTCGTCCTCGCCCTCGTCCTCATGATCGTCCCCGTCCTCGCCCTCGTCCTCGTGATTGTCCGCCTCCTCATCCTCATCCTCCCCCTCCTCTTCCTCTTCCTCCTCCTCGGCGTTCTCGCCCGCTCCTCTTCTTCTTCGGCCCTCCGACACGGGATTCGTTTCTCTGCTCCACTAGGTCCCTCCTCCATCCTATCCCTTCTCGTTCTCCTCCTCCCTCCCCTCTCAACCCTGCTCCTCCATGTCTTCCTCCACCTCTTCCCCCTCCTCCTCCTCCAACTCCTCATCATAATCCTCCTCTTGTTTGTTTGGCCGCAACGCCAATGCCTCGCAGTGATGACGTTTCCTGCTCGAGGCTCAAGCAGGCGCCGAAGAGCTGTGCTCCTCACAATAAGGAAATAAAATCGTCAATGGCAACCGTGGCTTGATCCTTATCAGGATGCAAGCCCTTCTTGAGATTGGGCATGTTGTGCATTGACGTGACGGTGGGCTGGCCACACACCCTGCCGAGCTTGACAATATGCGATACACTGCTGTAGAATTTGCAGCTCCAGCAAACGAAATTAAAAGACTGGTCAGAACACGGGAAGGCCACGACCGTGTTTCCTAACCTGAGCAGTCCGCCTTGGTCCAACCTGGAATGCCCTGGGCAGTCCCCAGGAAGCGGGGGCCGCGCGCGAGAGCCCTTGAGGCGAACGCGAGACTGCCAGAAGGACCCAACCTGCACCCACGAGCGCCCAACATCCAGGGAGACGTTCAGAGCAGCGGTGGCAGGAACGGACCTGGCGGTGCCCCGAAATTCAAGTCGCGGCCAACATGGCAGCAACTGCGAGCCAGCGGTGAGAACCAGACGGGCAGTCTTGATACGCCTGCCGGGCTCGTCAGCTTCAACAGGAGTAAGGGCGGGGTGCACGCTAGCCCCTTCTTTGGCAGCCAGCTCGGCACATCGATTGCGAAGTATCCTGAAACGCTCGCTGGATGCAATGCCATATTTGTCAGAATCCCTATGGGCAGACACCTCGACGAGGGCAGCCAATTTCCTTCCGAAATGGTGCTTCCCTTGAAAAGCGAGACCTGGGCACTGTCGTTTGCCACTCCGCGCGTCGGTTGTGGCCGAGCGCGACGCGATCCACAACATGCTGGCAACCGCTGTAGCAAATTGACGGGGCATCCGCATACGCTCCGCAGAAAGCGAGCGCGGCAAAGTCAGCAGCTCGAGGGGTCTGAGGCCAAGGAGCCCCGACGGGGCCTTTTCAAGACATCTAGGAGCTCGCCATCATTCCCCACCATCGTCACTGCCCAGCCCGCTCGAGACAACTCACGCACTACGCGCCTGTAACAGGAGCCGCCAATGAAAAGGATACCCCCACATGCTGCCCCCAGGAGTCAGCCTCTCAGCACCGCGCGACGGAGGAGGAGAAGGAGGAGGAGGAGGAGGAGGAAGGTCCTCGGCCAACCACACGAGGGAGACACAACCTTCACGTAGAAAGAAAGCGGAGCATAGTCCCCAGGATGACGGAAGGCCCCATAGAGGAACAGCTCCCCTTCATACTCAGGACTGGTCATGCCATTGGCAGCCTCAATCAGCCACGGCGGGGGCAGCTCCTTGCGCTGCTCTGCACAGGCCGCGCAGCGAAAAAAGCGGCGGTGCATCGCGCCGCTCTCGGCCCCGCACAGTGGGCAGAGGTCTGACGCGCCATAGCCTGCAGCAGCGGCGTCGGCACCTGCCCAGAATGCACGTTAGGCCCGGGCCCGAATGACCCTCTTGGCCTCGGCGGGAACCTTGGTCGAAACGAGCACCTGTTTGACAACATCCCAACGCAACCTGCACCCCGCCCCGCACTTGTCACCTGAGCGCCGCTCAAGGTTTCCGACACCGACTCGCGACACAGCACCTCGATCAGGCGGGCGGGGGGAGGGGGGTGGGGGCGGGGGGCGAGCGAGATGTCGCGGCCAGAGTCACCCCTAAGAATAACAAAACCGGGCATCGTCCAGCCCAGGCGGGAGATACACACACGCGGAGAGCCGACAGAGGACCGCGCACCTTCGCCCACGAATGATTGTCGTGGCTAAAGGCCTGCATTCAGCCATCGCGCAGCTCGGCTCAAGACAGACTCCATGTAAACGCCTGAGTGTGACACAGCCATATTTCTTTCGACCATCTAATGATGGGAGCCACACTCGCACGCCAGCACGGGCCCTCCGCGAGCAAGCTGAGAAAGGCCAGCGAGCGCCCCAGAAAGCTCGGCTTGAGGCACGAAGCCGCGGCAGGTCGCAAGTCCAGGAACTCCCTGTCAGGCACCCAAAAAATATCGGACTGCATGTTCCCCCCGCCAGGGGCCGCGAGGCAAACGCCTTCAGACTGCGTCTGCCAAAAAGGCCCCCCCCCCCCAAAAAAAAACCTTGCGAGCCTCCTGGCCTTGCGCAACGCGGTCGCCAAACGAGCTTTGGGCTTGGCCGCGCGGCCGCGGCCAGGCGCGCGAATAGAACGGTCAGCAGTGAAATCAACTCAGGTTCGGCGCTCTTCCAATACCCACCTCAGGCCCAGCAAGAGGCCAGTTGCCGGCAACCACCCCCACTTTGTCCAAGGCAAAGTTGCACTGCAGCTCTTCGGTGATGCACCGATGAAGAGCGCGGGCTCCACCAACAAGAGTACGCACAACATCCTCAGCTTTGCCAGAGCAACTAAGGCCTAAGTCGTCGACACACGCGTCAAAGTCAAGACCTGGCGACCGAGGAGACGAATCGAAACTGGCCACGGCAAACACCCCAACCAGACACGTGGCGAACAAGCAGCCTGCCACAATACCTCGGATGACGAAGTACGGCCCTTCGACGAACCCCCCCAGGGCCAGGCATCTGGCCGTCGAGTAAGCACGGATGGCCAGCCTGGCTATCGCCACGGGAAACCCATGCTGACGGCATCGGGCACACAAAAAGCGCAAAGCAATATGCTCGTAGCACTTGCGGAGGCCCCAAGAGATGGAGCCTGACACGTCGCCACGACTGAGCCCCGCCTCAGCCCTGAAGGCCTGGCGCCACACCACGTCAGAGGCGCCCCCCGTTGGCCCCCGCAGCCCAGAACTCCCGGGGATGCTCGGCCTGCCAGCGCTGCGCATGAGAACGACGAGCCCGCCACCAGGGGCGACGCCTGCTCGGAGATATATATATATATATATATAGAGAGAGAGGGGAAGGGAGAAGAACAAATGAAACGGGAGCCACCCGAGTTCTTCCCCAGGAGGGCCACGAGAACCCAAGGGATCTAGAGCGGGCCCGCGGCCGTGGCCCGCACGACACAGAACCCAAGAGAACCTGGGAAAAACCCAGGGTGCCCGTGGCCCCCATGACAGAAAACCAAAGGGCGAGGCAATGAAGTGCCCCGTCGCAGAACAACGCGAAGTGGCGGCAGCGGAAGCCATCCACACTCACAGCACTGGAGAGGCGATGATTCGTCGAAAAAGCTCGCAGCTCAGACTTATCTAAAACACGCAGGGGCTCGCGGGGGGAATCATCAACACCGAACCTTTGCCCAGCCCCCTAATCGACGCGAGCTCGTCGGCCTCGGCCCTCAGGAGAGCCGCGGGGTCGGCCACGGCAATACCGCCAGCCGCCAGGGTTGCACTAAGGGCCCAGGGCTCAGGATCTTCGATCGCGCGCTTGGCACTGCGACTACCTCTGTCCAAACCTTCACGGACCCAGTCCTGCCAAGCCGCCTTGGCCTGAGCAGACGCCGCCGCCTTAGCATTCAAACAGGTTCGATCGACCGAGTCGAGCAAGGCGCCCAGATCCGAGCGGGCGTTGGCCAGCGCCACAGGAACCGAACTGCCATCAAGACCGCCGTGAAACCCATCGTCGCTCGGCCGCCATGAAGCATCGCAGGTGCGCAAGCCTCCAACGCCTTCGACTAGCGCAGAGCGCGCCTTGAGACCGCAGCAATCGAAACTGCGGGAGGCGGAAACATGGGGGCGAGAGAGATCCTCCAGGCAGCGGAACAAGCCTGGAAGACCCGGTGCCAGTCCGAGTCGGCCCGCACAGCGACGTCGCCTGGCACGCGAACGACGTCGAGCGCGACGTCTCGACCAGCAGAAGAAAGCACCGCACCATCACATATAATGTAGCTCCTACGCGCCCTCAACTGCGCAGCAAGCCACGCGATGGACCTAAGGCGCGAGCCCTTAACTTTACCAGCAGGTTTCAATACCGACTGCCAGATCACCTCGGGGCGTTTGCCCCTCATGCCATGGGCAGGGAGGTCGACCCCGATGGCCCTCCCCAGATCGGCCTCGGCCGAGTTGGCTCAAAGGCGGCACCCAGGGGTAAGCAAATCCCTAGCCCCGCCCACATCCCCAGACTGGACAGCCTCGCAGGCCGACTCAGCCTTAGCCAAAGCCCGATGCCAATCCCCAGGGCGGGCAAGGCAGCGGCCCAACAATAGGCACAGCAGGGAAGTCGGGGGGGCGGCTGGAAGCGGGAGCTTTCAGAGAGCCTGAGGAAGGGTGGAATCTGACAGCAACAGGCTTGCGCGGCGACAGATCCGACTTATTGACAACCCTAAACTGCTGCAAACAGCGCCCCAAGGCTTCGACAACAATGAAAAAAGTCAAGAGAACCTGGGGCACCCCCCCAGAAAGGAAGCGCGCGCGCCCCGCCGCTGGGACAATAACTCCTCTTGAGAAGCTCCGCGAAGTTGGCCCCAAACAAGACCCCGCGGGAAACTTTGAAATCCCTCTCAGCGACCAACTCAAGCCCCTGGGTTTCCAAGAAACACCGACGGCCCTCAGGATGTCCAGATTGGCGCCCGACAGTCCTCGGGAACGGA